TGGTTCAATCAGATCTAGCCTGAATCGATGTGATGTATTGCGATGCCCCTTATGGGATGCCCTGCTTTCCCTTTTATAGGCCAAGGGAAAGCATGGGTGATAGCGGAGGAAAAAGAAGAACAAGAGAGAGAGAGAGAGCCAAAGGCCTATAGGATCACCGGGTCCTTCTTCTCCTTCATGCGGGTCCCGCCGACCCTATAGATGTCAACAGGGATGGCTTCACGTCACGGTCCTATCCATCACTAGCACCATACGTAGGCGTCATATGCTGGTCATGGCGCTCCACTCCATCCTGGCGAACATCGTGGTGAACTGACGCACCCGTCAGTGTTCGTACGGGGGTTAGGCAGAATAGCACCGGTACACCTGATGCTGTTCTTGTTGTGAATCCTCCGGTATGGCCCATCAAGGCCACGGGTTACATCAGGGCATACCGATCTCTTCCCTAGTGTCAGAGCTTTGACTCAGGCCCATACACTTGGACCTAGAGTGGTTGGCAGCGGTATGGGTCTTCGTCGGGCGAGGCGGAGCCCGTGGCCTCAGGGTCGGGCGACACAGAGTCCTCCCCCAGAGGCCGGGCGAGGTGGAGTGCAAACCCGAGGGTTGGATGAGGTGGAGCCCACGGCCTCGGGGTCGGGTGAGGTAGAGCGTAGACCCAAGGGTCGAGCGAGGCGGAGCGCAGACCCAAGGGTCGAGCAAGGTGGAGCGCAGGCCCAAGGGTCGGGCAAGGCGGAGTCCTCCCTTAGAGGCCGAGCGAGATGGAGCACAGACCCAAGGGTCGGACGAGGTGGAGCGCAGGCCCAAGGGTCGGGCGAGGCAGAGCGTAGACCCAAGGGTCAAGCGAGGTGGAGCCCGCGGCCTCAAGGTCGGGCGAGGCGGAGTCCTCCCCTAGAGGTCGGGCGAGGCAAAGCGCAAACCCAAGGGTCGGGCAAGGCGGAGCGCAGGACCAAGGGTCAGGCGAGGCAGAACGTAGACCCAAAGGTCGGGCGAGGCGGTGCCCTCTCCCAGAGGCCAGAAGAAGCAGAGCATACGCGTCAGTGGGGTCATTTGGAGCTGTAGTCGCGCTCTTGACTGCTTGGATGAGTCAATATTGATGGTCATTAGCTCCTCTTCTTCGGGTACCCTAGTATTGGTCCCCGACAATACCTCACTCAACACCCACGCGTGACTCCCCTTGCCCTGACTGCCCTAACCACACACGCCCGCACGCCACAGCCATGGTTTGATTCCTATCCTGCATGTTGTGTTTTTTCCATGAAACATCATCCTCTCCTCTCGAGCGACCGCAGAAAGGGAAAAACACCACCCCAACTTCTGCCATCGCCTCTTGTTCCCGACAATGGTGAGCTCTCCAGGTCCGGCGTCCTCCTTTGGCTTTGTCGACGATGGCTAGATCTGGTGATTGGAGTCGCAGACGCTCCACCCCCTTGTTCTCCCCAGGCTCTCCACCCCCCCCTTCTTCTTCCTGGGCTCTCCAACCCTTCTCCCGTGTCGCTCCTCCGGAGTCGTAGATGCCGTTGGCCAAGCCGGCATCGTGGCTAACCTCGTGGCCCCCCTGGTCGACTTTTTGGCTAGGGACACGACTGGACGGCCCTCCGTCGTGGGTGTGTGAGTGAGGGGTGCGCCTCCCCTTGCCGTCGGTGCTGCTCTAGATAACATCTTCTCTCCACCCTGAATTTGTCGCCAAAAATGCTCCTTTAGGTAATTAAATGTACCCGTCTGTTTACACCAAAATTTAGGAAGAAGAATGCGGGAAATCGAAGCTTCCAGGATTATGTCATCAAGGAATCGATTAGATGTGAATCGGTATCAGCTGATTTAGATGCGATGTTAGAATTGACTATTTTATAGATGACGTCAGCAGACGGCGTCAATGGGCTATGCTTGAATAATGCTAGGAAGATATGTCGGACTCTACAAACAAGAAAAATTAGGGTCCAAGTTATTATTAAGTTATGAAGTTTTCTTTTATTCCAAGAATTGTAATGAGTCGTATTTGAGTAGGATTCACATTTAGGTTTCGGGTATAAATATTAGACCCTGATTATTGTACAAGGGAATGAACACTCAATCAATACAATTTTTACGGCTTTCGCCATCGCATTAGGAGTAGGAGTACTGTAGATCTCGATGAGTTCTTCAACAAATAGGGCTGCATCGACTGATCGACCTCCAGCTTGATTGTGAGTACCATCACGACTTGTATTGTGCTTATAAAGCTGCATCAGCTGATTGATCTTTTATGAGCTATAATATAAGTTAGTTATCGATCCATATCATTGTTTGTAAGGCTGCATCAGCTGATTGATCTCTTACCAATCATAATATAGATCAAAGTTATCGATTTTGTGTTAAATAACTTGTTGTTTAATACAATATCACCAGCTATCGAATCTGCTAAGATTAGTAAGATTTTTCTTACTAATTTGGGTTGATTCACTAGTTATCAATCTTGTTATAATTAATGTTTTATTAATTATAACAAAATCACCCGATTGAGATAGAGATAGATCGGCATCATATCATCTTAATTGGTCATCTTTTGATCTGGTCACGCTTTAAATCTTATAATTGATGGCTTAATTCCGCTAGATCGGTTGTTTTATCTCTATTCTAATCAAACATAGTATGCATCCAAAGACATGTTTCAATCTTGAATAAACTCACTAGTTAATGAGATCTAATCTAATGATGCTACTATAGCTGTATCGATCCGATCGAACCTCACTGGTAAGACTTTAGATTAGAAATTATCGATTAGTGGTCTTGTTCATGATCAAGATATGTACTATGTTTGTTTGCTATGATGCATCGGCTATTTTAGCCGATTTGCCTATACTCTCACGTATATAATATGTTTTCATAAATCTATCACATATAGATGGTTTTATAAATTCTTTGTCTTTAGTTTGTTATCATTATCATAGCTGCATCGATCCGATCGAACCTCACTGTTGATGTAATAGATTAGATTCAAACTGCTTGTAGATTCATTTATATTAGACAATCGATTTGTTCGCATGTTATACTCTTTTCATCAAACTTATCGGCTCGACGCTTTATATCGATCATGTTCTATTTAGCCGATGATGCTTTCTTATAACGCTTCTTTGCTGATTATCAATTCTCTAATCGATCGATGACATCAATCGATCATTTGATCATATATGTTGGAATTTTAAGGAAAAATCTTCTGATTTTATATTTGGGTGTATTGTACTTGTTTTTGTCTAGATTAATTAGTCATCATAAATCTGCTATGATCCATGAGCATTGGTTATTTTGATTCATATCATTATCATTTAATTTTAGCTGATAATCCTTGATTTAAAGATTTCATGGATACGCCGGATATTGACTATTTAGTCGATAGCGTTATTGAATCGGCTATCTAGCCGTATATTTAGAACTGTCTGGTGCAACATCGACATGTTCCACCTTAAATTACTGATGAGATTTTCTCTCATTGTCAATTGCGGGTCAAATTGACCGCCACGTTGTTGGGTTTTTAGAATCGGCTGGTTCTGTGTTGAAGCCAAGCAGATCTCTGGTCTCGTTCCACTCTGATCTTCAGGCTTGTTGTGTGTTGATCACATTGCCACATTTTTGTGTCAACACCGCCCTTACACTGCCCTTGAATTCCCAACATGAACAGGCAAAACAAGACAGCGATCATTCATGGTTTTTCTAGCTATCCATAGGATTGACTTCACCTCCTCGTGTTGGAGCTAAACAAAACGATAGAGTGCGTATGGGGAGCAACCAAATAGGTGGAGATTGTACTATGAAGATGTAGATAAAAGATTATACAATCAACTAATCAAATCCATTGCTAATGCTAGTGTGTAAGATCACCGTTCCCTGTGACATGAACAACCACGCAAAACGTCAAGTTATGGTAAGGACGACACGGTGTACTCTCGTTGGTAAAGATGGCAGCAGAAGGGATGCGGACCCGAAACCCATGAGTTTCAGACCCGCCAGGCGGGGGGGGGGTTCTACTTCTACCCGTGGGTTTTGGGTTCGGGGACTCGAAATGGGGGCGGGTCGGGTCGTGTTTTGATCCCCAGCGGGTGCTCGTCAAGGACCCGCCATCTCAGCCAACTAAGGTTGTAACTCTAGGTATAAATGAACCAATCGTTGACTCTCCTATCTCCTTCCCATTCCTCAAGTCGCCCTTGACGCCGCACCCGACCCTCCCCATGCAGCCCTTACGGCGCGATGAGCTCGTCGCATCCCCCACGACCCCAGCACCAATCCGTCGCTACTCCCTTTGCGAATCGCTACTCTTCGCTCCGCTCCCCCTCGCTCTCCTCACTCCACGGTAGTCTCCACGCGGCCTCTCCACGGCGTCGGCGTGGGCTTGCGTCTCCGCTCCCTCTGCAGTGGCGGTGGCGAGACCCTACGTGCTGCTGACCCGGTGTGGCAAGAAGACCCTCGGCGGCTAGCAGCGAGTCGGCGACCCGATCTCGAGGGCACCTACGAGGCTGCGACGGATGGATAGAGCCTCATCTGCGTCGTGAGCACCATCTCCGTTCGGGTTGCGGGGAACCCGACTTCGGCAGGTTTGGGGTCGGTGTGGATTTTCACCTGAAACACAGTTCGGGGCGGGCGGGTTCGTTGTCAGGTTTGGTGCGGGTCGCGGGCGCTCCACCTGTCCGTTGCCATCTTTATTCGTTGGGCATGACCTTAAGGCGTAAATCGGATATTACGCTACCGCAAAAGGTAGGCGAAAATGGGCAAGTACGTATCGAAACACCTGCACTCTCCTAAGACCCCAAGTGACGACTCGACTGAGTGGTCGTCCCTAGCAGAAACGTCGAGATCGACGGCGAGAGTTTTCCTATGACCGGCGGCGGCGGCAACACCCGGCGTCCGACCGCCGCGGCCAGGAGCCGCGGGAGGCCATCTGAGGCCTCGGGCCGGAGCCAGGCGCACGCCGAGCCGCGGCCGCAGCGGCGCGGCGCCGTGGCCGCAACGACCATGGGCCCCTGCGCCTCATGGACGTGAGGCCCCGAACCCTCGCGCTCTTCGTGCTTGCTTCCTTCGCCTTCGTTTCGGTCGCCTTCGTGGTGTATACTGGTGGGTGGTGGGAGGAGGCGGAAGGGGAGGGCGCGGCGACGCTGCGAAAGGTCATGCGCTCCGTAACCCCGCTGTCAGCGCCCAGGATGATGGATCTGCCTCAGGTGATGCCCATTTGTTTGCCACGTTGTTTTTGTTGAGCGTTCTATGTTCTGTGGGGCTGTCTAGACTCTAGAACCCGAAGGTTGAAATTGCACGACAGCTAAAGCTAGTAGAGAAGTACGCACTCTAGTTTCAGGGACTCTAGTTGATTTGGGAAGGGCTGCTTTATGTATTCGTGAAGTAGTGGTGACTATGATTTAGCATCAGGTGAGATTGGCACCATGAGCTATTAATTGTGCATCACTTCATATTTAACGATGATAGAGTTATGTTGAAGCGCAGTAGTCTATACTGATGTTGGTACACGAAGCTAGTTAAATTTGTTTGTCACGAAGTATGAATATGCTACCTGGGGACCAAACACCGCTTTTGATGTGCACACTATTATATGTATCTGTACTTCTTTTTCTAGTATGCACTTGATTTTCTCTTGATCTAGTTTTTTTTTTCCTTCTGAATGATGCATAATTGAAAGGCTCTCATTTCTTTGTATCCTTAGGTTTTATTAGTAACAATGTTACCTTTCTGATGGTTCATGCCTAAATGATTGCAGTTTCAAAGTAACCACAAGGAAAGTTTGTATTGGGGCACTTATAGACCAAATGTGTACCTTGGAATTCGTGCAAGGTGCTAAACTTGTGCAAAGCCTCCCTATTCTCCTTCATAACAAGTTAATTACTGAAAATTATTCCCTTCCTGTAGTTCTCTACTGCTTGGACTACATTTGAAAGTTCATGTTCCTCGTATAAAATAGTTTTGATGATATTTCCTTATACTGTCATGAAAGTTAGAATCTTATAGACACTGAGAAGTCTCTCTGTTCCTTCATGTGGAGTCAATCATCTTTATACAATGAAACTACTTCTATCATGGCTTTTAAAATAATACGCCATGCTATTTTTTTAGCTGAAAGTACCGTCTTTATGCAATGAGAATTCTTTGGAACCAAGGATTCAAGAATTTCTTGCTAATATTACCTCTATTGCAGAACCCTCTGTCTCTAATTGCGGGACTGATGTGGATTGGCTTGAAAAATGGACAATATTTTCTTATGCATGTTTGCCAAGATTCTGATGAGCTGAGCACATTTGGGTGGACAGCTCACAATGGTAAGGATTATGGACGTCAAGTGCTGGTTGATCATGGCCTATTCTTGACTACTAGTTTTCTGAAAGAGAAAGGAGAGAACAGTGGTTATGGTGGAGACTGGGCAGTTCGATTGGATGCTAACAGTGAGAGGTAAATATACTTTCATTATCTGCAAATTGAAGAAAAGAGCAGTTCAATCTTACAGAAAAGATGTTTTAACACATCTCAGTTTGTAAACATACTAAACAGAGGATGGAAAGAATGACAGGTCTGAATTGTTTTCTTCGTTGCCTGATCCCAGCTCAGTAGGATATCACCTGTGATTACTTACTTTGCAACCGTGCAAAGTTACCAAACCAAAATAAATTTATTCCATGTTGTTAAACTTTCTCTAGGTCAGGCTTAAGTGATGCTCAAGAAAGCACCACATCTTTTTTTCTACATTGCTGATGAAACTGGAAATCAGACCACTATGGGTTCATATGAACCTTCATCAAGAGGCCCTGTTCTTTTGGCTTCTGGGTCGCATGAGGAGATTGGTGATTGGGAATTGCACTTGAGATCTGAGGTATCCTTGTCTTCATAGTTTTTGACCTTGTTAACTCCTCAGTATTGTTTGCGACTGGGATATGCTGGTGCAACTCCATTTGACTAACTCTCATATGGATATATCCAACTCTGTTTCTCACAGGACAATTTGGAAATTCACAGAGCTGGATTCAAATCAATGAGTATGCATAATCTGAGTGACCTAGTACAACAAGCTGTTGCGACTAATGTATTCTAAACTCCTCATCATTTACCTTATTACTCCCTCCGCTCCAAATTGTAAATTGTTTTGCATTTTGACTTTATCCTAAGTCAAACTTATCTAGTTTTGACCAAGTTTATAGGAAAATGTATTAATATTTACAATATCAAATGAATCCACTATCAAAATATATTTCATGGTGTATCTAATGAATATAGTTTGACATAGTAGATGTTTGTATATTTTTTTCTATGAACTTGGTCAAATTAGAAAAGTTTGACTTAGAACAAAGCTAAAATGATTTACAATTTGGAATGGGTGAGTATTTGGGAAAAATCAGAACATTTTGTATTTCATTAATTACCTTTCAATGTAGTACTTATACGGTTTATGTCTAGGCAATACAAACTGGAAACCTTAACCTACCAGATATTACTGAAGATTCTTCAAATATAATGGTCTATCAGGTAACTGGAAGAGGGCAAGGAAATTTATTCCATCATTATAATTATGTATTCCCCATGTATGTGTGCAGCCTTTCGATGAAAGAGTCATTAACACCATCTTATTTCCTTTCGACTTTAAGTAAATGGTAAATGATGTGCAACATGTGCTTGTTTCCTCAGTATAATCGCCCTGTTCGTTTGGGCTGGTTTGGCTCATAAGCCATGGCTGAAAGTACTGTTGGCTGGTTTGGTGTGAGAGAAAATATCTTTTGTTAGTTGGCTGATAAGCCATGGCTTATAAGTCAAATCGACCAAAGCGAACAGGCTGAATGTCGAGAAGCAGGTGTCGCATGCCATAACTTTGATCACTGGCACGTCATATTTCAGTTAAGCATTAGCAATAGAAATATATTAGCACATTAGCTATACTCACTGTTATGTAGTAGTAATATGTATGGATTGGACACATGGAGGATGTATTGAGGCTCTTTTTTTGGTGAACTCGTTATATATTTTATTGTTTTCTTTTGTTTCTTGAAGAACCTATTTTGTTTTATTGTTTTCTACTTTATAAATTATATAACCAAATGTTACTGGTATCCTCTGTTAATTCTTCTGATCCATGTTTGCTGTGGTCTAGGCTTTATGTTGTTGTTTCTTGTCAGCTATTGCATTATGATTTATACTTTACTTTATTTTGATTTGATAGGTTTCCATAAAGACTCCTGCTCAAATAGACATAGTATTCTTGTCAGGGTCTGCCTCAAAGTCTCCAGTGATTGAAGAAGCGGATTAGCAAGCTAACAGGTGATTCTGCTGCATAGTGCATACTGCAAACACTATATGTGATTCTTCTGATTCTATTGTCATGGGATGTAAAGTCACCACCCATATTCTTTACGCACTGATCATTTTAAACAAATCTACTTGGCTCTTGGCTTGTTCTACATCCTTGCATAATTTTCTGGATCTGTTTCATCTACATCTTGTCTTTGTGATGAATATGAAAATCAAGAACATTATAAGCACAACATATTTGTTGTCTTAGTCACTTCTCATTAATGATGTCAGGTCCCATGCTGAGTACCCGTCTTGAAACAAAACAAAAGGAATTTGAAGAGATATGATCAAATCTTCAATGTAAATAATAAAGGTGCGCTTTGTTGGATGAGCATTTTGTTTAACATTCCACTTTTTTATCTTGTTTTTGCAGTATCTGAAGTTGTTTTATTCTCACTGTATTATTGTTTCCCTCTGAATGAATTAAAATATTTCTTTCCCAAGGGATGTTACTCATTACTTTATTGGCTCTTGTATTTGTTTGTGTATATATCAGTGTGCATGATAGTGTCATTCAGTGTGAAGTGTTTGTGTGCTTCAATTTACTACAGTTGAAAACATTTTAATCGTTAATTTGTTTTTGCTGTTAGATAAGAAATGTTGTAGACAGTTAGTAAAACTTGACTAAAGTTTTTGTCGTTGACCTATGCTGATGTAGTTTTCATTTTGATTAAGATTGATTCCAGACAATTATCTGTTGGTAGAGCTGCCTTGTCAAGTCTTCTTGGCGGCGTTGGCTACTTCTATGGGCAATCCAAAGTTGCAATTCCGAAAGGTTTTACAGTAAGTTTTAGAGCTTCACCTGACATCAGTTTCATTTGTTCATATGTTGTGATCTGCTCTTGTTCTGAGAAATTGCTATCTCAGGATACTTTTTTTAAAAAAAAAATAGCTGTGTGTTATTTTTATACTGTTTTGTAGTTATGTTGCATCTGAATTCCTAAGCTACAAGTCACAGCTCACAGACAACCAAAACTTATTGCTTATGTTTCTCTGCCAGCAAAAAATGGGATAAGTATATTCCATATTGGCCTGCTCGTTATATACAGCTGTTCCCAAGCCGCTCATTCTTTCAAAGGGATTTCTGTGGGATGAGGGCTTCCATCAATTAGTCATTTGGTAACTATTAGTTTTATCTCAGTGTTCAACAAAGGTTTTCTGCTGTATGCTCTAACGCACATCCTCGGTGGTGATGTACAGGCGATGGGATGTGCATATATATCTATGGATATCATTGGGCATTGGTTAGATCTGCTTAATTCAGATGGATGGATTCCCAGGGAGCAAATCTTAGGAGCTGAAGCTTTAAGGTTGTTTCTACTGTCACAACCAGTGATAAGTTTAGTGCGACACTTATTATATAATCCAACTTTTCCAATCATGCAGTAAAGTTCCTGAGGAGTTTGTTCTGCAGTACCCTTCAAATGGAAACCCTCCAACTTTATTTCTTGCGATACGTGGTAAGCCATTACTTTCTTTCTTCCTCCTCGTGTTGATGTGTTTATTGTATCTTGTGATATCTAACTCTTTGTTTCCTCTGATATTTAGTGTAACTTGCCTGCATGGCATGCCTTTAAATGAAAAATGTTGAAGCATAACCTATAAAATGAATTTACAAACTGCAGTTTTCTGTTCCTCTTTCTCCAATATTCAAATGCCATAATATATGAAAAGGGCACGGCAAAGTGTTCAAGGAACAGAAGACCTGTCTTGGGAGTATTACAAAATATGTTAGTTTGTAACGTTTTTGGTGTATGCTTATCCAATTATAAGCATTGAATGCTAAGAAGTTTTGTTGACTGGCAAGCACCTAAAGTCTATTAAACATGTGAAGGTCTGTAGAGTTGAAGTCTTGAATTGAACTGTAATAAAGTCTTGCTTTGATTAATTTGACATATGCCCTTTGTCTTGGCACAGATTTGGCAAGTGGTATACATGCACAGCAGTTTTCAGATGAGGAAGCTGAAAAGGTTTCCAGTTTCCTTCAAAGGGCTTATATCGGCTAAAATCTTGGTTTCAGTGGTTCAACAGTACACAATCAGGTGAGCTTTCTTTTACCACTTTCATCTTCTGTACTCATACTGACTAGTTGGAGTTTTAATGCTATTACCACGGTTATTTTCTGAAACACACAAACATGATAAACCGACAAGCTGTTATATGGTGTATGGAGATGATAGTTGAAAGCCTAACAAGAGGCACTAGCTCAGTCTATTATTAGGTGCTAACTGTGGTTGTACAGCAAAAAAAAAAGAGAGAGAGAGAGAGATCGATTGGGACTTTGAAGCCTTCACTGGGTGCTATTAATTTTTAGAGTATATTTCGTCGCAGAATTTCACTTTCAGTTCCTGCTGGCTTCAGTTCATAATTGTAGTGAGCACAATTTCTTATAAGACATGAACCTAAGCTTGAGCAGAAATTAATTGTTGACACAGCTGACAGTCTTTCCAATCGATCTCCTAGACTTCCTTTTGTAGACACAGATTTGCAGAACTGATCTCCAGTAGCTCCATATTTTATACTCTCACCTCAAGTCGGTGAAAAAAGTATATTTGGTTCTAAGCTATTCTTTTTTGTAATTGTGGTCCTCAGCTAGTTAAGTAGCTGTTACATCTCAAATCCACTGTTGCATATATGATTTCTACTTGTCGTGTCAACACTTCTACCTTTGGCTTATTTATCATAAATTTTTATAGGTAAATATGAAGGCACCTTCTATTGGCATGGAAGAGACAACATAACAAGAAGGAGTTGAACCCAAAGGTTTTTACATAATTCATTGTTGCCTGTTCCCGCACTGATCAATTGATCAAAAGCTTTTCATTGAGCACACGTCATGCCATATTAGAGTTCCTTCACTTTGCACTTCTGATGTTCCCAATTACTTTGCAGACTTTGACATCTGGATTGGATGACTATCCTCGTGCATCTCACCCTAATGATGAAGAACACCATGTTGACCTTCGTTGTTGGATGCTTCTTGCTACAAACTGCATCCGTTCCATTCACGGAGTTTCTTAAAATGGATAGTTCTCTTGAGAAGGTAGTTCAGTATGGATGTAGGAACATGACTTGCTAATTCAAGTTGATTTGTCTCAATCATTGACTTTGGCTCTTTTCTTTGAAAAACTTTGTTGAATTTTTGCAGGATTACTATAAGATGTCAAATCAACTTTCTGATTTTGGAACACTTAACAAGGTACTGTGCTGTCAATCCCTTGATTTTTTTCTTCTGTGAAGCAAAGTACAGGCATGAACACAAATACATGGAAGTCCTTGAATTTTGTATCATATTGGAATTGTTTTTTGGAGATCTCTCAAGTATTTTGGCGCTGTCTTGACTCCACCATAAACCTGTTCCACTCTCCTCTTGAGAGTGGACCTCTCAATAATTTCCTCTGTATGGAATCTTCTAGAAAATTATGCGTTTATAAAATTTCTGCCTTAAAACATGGTTTTATTCTAGTTGATATATTGATCATGTTCTGAACCCCGATTGTGCCTTTATGAGACTATTGGTTTAGTTCCAAAATCGAAACAATCCGATGACTACTGCTTGTTTCATCCAGTTATGTAATCATTGGCATTTTTACAGTTGCACTTGGATGACAAAATTGGTGCTTATTTTGATTATGGTAACCATACTGAAAAGGTCAGCACTGTGCTTCCTCTGACCTTTGGTACTTTGTTTTCCACATTATTCTCAAACTGTGATTGTGAGGTTATTTTTGTAGGCTCGATTGAGATGGTTTGATGTGAAAGACAAGGATACTATGAGGCGAGAGTTCTTGCGAGAAACATTACAACCCCCTCAGCTGCAGTTAGTACCCCATGTTGGCTATGTCAGCCTCTTCCCATTCATGATGGGGACTATTCCACCTGTATATTCTTTACTTCTATCTGTCTTGTTTATCACTTAAATGGTTTTTCTGATGCCCATCCTAATTAGTAATCACATGTGGCTACTCAGGAGTCATGGGTTCTTGAGAAGCAGCTCAATCTGATATCTAATACCTCTATATTATGGACAGATTATGGCCTTCGATCGCTTTCTAGAACAAGGTAAATGGTCATGAATTGGTCTATTATTTTGTCCATTCTCCTCCCCTCATCCACCCCAACCCTTCTCCCAAAACACCACATAAGTTTTGGATATCTGAGCATATATACTATTACTTTCCTACCCTATGAACAGCATCAATATGACTAGATGGAATTGTCAAACTGCATTCATGCTCCCAATACCTTGTTACTGTAGCTCACGCTGGTTTATATAGCTATATTATTTGGTCATCCAATAACGGGTTCTGATCTATTTATTGATATATGGTCCAGTTCAATATATATGAAGCGTAATACAGAGCATGACCCCCCTTATTGGAGAGGTGCCATTTGGATAAACATGAACTACATGGTTCTTTCCACTTTTACATCACTATGCACATGGTAAGTTCTTTAAGTGCCTAGTTTATACCCTTTGCAAACCCTTCTGCTGGTACAATGATCTCACATTGTGCTTTCATGTGAGGATGGTCCATATAGCAGCAGGGCAGGTGAATTGTATGACAAGCTAAGATCAAATCTTATCCGTGTGTTCATTCTTCTCTTGAGTTGAAACCAAATAAATTAAGCTGAACTGTAGCTTGTCTAATGGATTGCTGGCGCTTTACTTTCCGGTTTTACATTTACAGGAATATCGTGCAGAATTACGATGAAACAGGGTTCTTCTGGGAAAACTATGACCAGAAGAACAAAGGAAAAGGGAAAGGTGCACGGTCATTTACTGGATGGACTTCACTTATTGTTCTGATCATGGCGGAGTCCTACCCAACATTGCATAGGTGAGATATACATTGCAAACAACCAGAGCAGAAGATAGCTATGGCTGTTGGAATGAAGGGGCTGACAGCTGGCTGTTGTTTAGCTTGATTTCCAACCAGAATACTCGGGAGAACTTGATTCATAGCATTAACTGCCTTAATCATGAAAATTTTGACAATAACTCCTGGTCAATCTGTTCAGCATCATTTATACAGTGTTAGTGGTCATCGCTGTTCACTCTCATACTGTAAACTAGTTCCTCGAAGAACTAACTTTTGGGGTCCCGAAAACCACCCCAGGAAAGCATGAGCATATGGAAACATTTCGTTCTTGAAAGCTGATACTACGTGGAGCTGTTATTTGCTATTGAACGTCTATGAATGTACTCTGTTACTGCATGTTTCTTCAGGGATCATTGAGCTGTCATTTGGTTCTTGTAATCTGTTACTGCTCTTACTATGCTTGGCCATTTGCACAATACAGGTATAACGGCCCAATGATCCCTGAAGAAACATGCTGGCCTGAATACGTGACTGATACATTCGCATTTACTTGCTGGCCCGAGTACGTGACTGATACATTCGTGTTCCTTCTCTTATAATCCATACTTTTTAGCTTGTTTTTTCAAGTAGGAAACGTGTTTTTCTCTGCATAACAAATCGGTAGGAGCGATGTTTGGCTTCGTTTTTCAAATGACGAACAGACGCTTACAGCCAGCCGCTGCTGCTTGTACGTTTAACTGTGAGAGAATTTTGATTGCAGCAGTTCTTGTATGTGAGAATTTTGACTGCAGCAGTGTTGCTTTTAAGAGCAGTCGAACATTGTGAATGTATGGCATGTGTTTTGAAATCGTTTAACCCTCTGGAAAGCGGGCCCTGTCTGTGCTGTGACTGCCTGTACTTTCCTTTGCTGTGTCTGCAAGCATCATGTATCCCCTGTTTTGCAAGCAAAAGTACTCCCAACATTCTGAATTCAAATTATCGTCGGAAGCCAATGTTTCCTTCCCCAGGTAAGTTGTTGCCCAGTTGATCACTGGGAAGTGGGACCCCTTTGAGCGGAGACCACCGGGCTGGTAGCAGCTTGCCTTGGATTCGTGGTACTGGTCAGATCATGAAGAGGGAGACTTCCTGAATCCGTAGTCCTGCTGGAGAATCTCTTGCGATCAACTCACGGATTCCCGGTTCTACCAGGTTCAGGTCGCCTGCCACTGACAACTTTGATGCACGCGTCCGGCGTCCACGCTATTTGGATGGAAGTCAGTACTTCCAATGTCAAAAGTCAAAATATGTACTCTACCCATCTCGCATCGCGAAATTTCCTTCTCGATGGAACCCGTTTGCTTGAACATATCGGTAAAATGTCTGGTTTAATGAAAATAACGTTATTTTTTACCGCGATAAATCAGCGTAAACTGTTTTTTCAGCCAGCGGGCCAGTACTGTAGCATTGAATTTCTCTCGTGGCGGTTAGCAGTCAGTCACCGTGGCCATGGTCCAAGCAAAGCGGACGGAGCACTGAGCACACGAGCGCAGAGAGCCGTCGCCATCGTCCGTCGCAGATTCGCAAATTCGCTAGCGGACACAGTTTGCTCCATCCAAACTCCCAAACCACCCAAATTCCCAACAGCCCCAGCCCCATCACATTCAATAGCACACCAGAGCAACGACGGAAGATGAACAAGAAAGTTTACACCCTGTTAGCTTTATCATTTACGTGGCTTATAAGCGGCTGATCTTTGTTTTGTTGTGAAAGAAAAATATTGTATTATGAGTGATAAGCGTGGCGGAATCGATCAAAGCGAACATTGTGTTATCCGTTGTTGATTGCGCATAGGTAAAATGCAAGTCAGGTCCTTAAATTTTGGGGGCATTCCTATGAACTATAAAACAACTATCTAGGTCTCTCATCTATTGCTATTGCACATTAAAGGACCAAAACCTGCCGTGTTAAGCGTCAACATCCGGCGTAAGCGATGCCACGATGGCGGTGGACAACTGTGAGGCCATGCCAACTTCTAAAAAAACCCTCAAGCGTTTGGAGCACAGCGCATGCGCCCAAACCCGCGAGAGCACTTGTGCGAGCGGCCGTCGGCGTCAGCGTGCATGTGAGCCCAGCCGCCCCGTGGCGGCGCAGCGAACTTGACGGCAGTGCCGGCGTGTGGAAGCTTCGCGTCTTGGCGAGGGTTGCCCACGGCCCCAGCGAGAACGCATAGCGGCGCCACCATTGCCTCTGCGAGCGCACGCGTCGAAACCAGCAGCTGCCCAACCGAGCGGCGCGCGCCCCGCCCGCCGTCGCGGCCTGCGGAAGCCGGTAGCGGTCACGAGCCGCCGCCGCCCTGCGAAGGCGTGCGCGAGACTTCGGCCGTGGAAGTGCGCATCGAGCCTCTGCCGCAGCGTCTGGCGGAAGATTATTAAGTCACCGGGTGGAGCCGCGGCGCCTCGCCCAGCCAGCTGCGGTGGAGGGGCGTCCATCCGGAAGCGGGGCGTCGCGATCGATGATTGAAGCATCGTCGTTCGATCGTTCGGCGGCCGCCTCTGCTCCTTCGTGGCCCGCGTGCGGCCACTGCGTGGCGGAGGCGGTGTGATGGCGGCGAAGTGCGGCGCCAAAAACAAGCGGTGACCTCCGCCTCGGTGCGTGCCACGGCCGTCTACATCTTGGGGAGTGAAGTGTTGGTTGATCTCCACCAATAGGTGGGCCTTGTCTTTGCTCCTGATGGGGAGCCCAACCCTAATCTGATTGGTGGGCCCACATGTCATGCAACATATATAAGGTAAAGGTGGGGATCGGGGCTCGGCTCACGAGGTTCAGCGGGCCGCCGCCATCCCACCCTCGATAAACCTAAAAGCTGATCAAAGTAGTGTTGCCCGGTGACGGAAGCCCATCAACCTCACGTCGCCACTCAGTACGCCATTGGACTTCATCTTCATCCATACGGGGCGCCTACTACACATGGCACGGTGTCTGAGAGAGCCTCTGATCAAGGTGTGTAGAGAACCCAAAGCGAAGGTCTACCCGTTCTCTGTTTACAGAGAGAGGTAATCTCTGATCTTAACATTGGTACGAGCCAGGTTGCGGTGTGTAACCTAACCTAGCAACGGGTAAAAGCAAAGAGGAAAAGAGACCAAGGGGTGGCGGGCGTCACTGGAACCCCGGTCACCACACACTCCTACCAGCAGGAAAAGTCTCTGCGGTCTGACAAGGAAAGAAAAGAGTTCCTTACGGATCACGAGCAGAGAAGGGTTCACTAACCTAACCCTAAACCCGTAAAAAGCCTTCAGCAGGGAAAGAAATAGTAGAATCAAGAAGAAGAGTGGGTTGGTTTGGTGAACCTAAGACCTAACCTAATTTTAACCCCATCCCAAATCGGGTTAATCCCAAAGAAGAATGGGAAGGGGAAGAAGGGAAGGAAGAATGGGTCTCGGGAAGAACAGTGAACCCTATCATCTCGATCTAGATTCAAAACAAATGGGTTCAACAGAACCCTAACTTAACTTTCATGGAGAAAGGGAAAAGGGAAAGCCATTGAATGAACTCCGAAAGAAAAAGAAATCAAAACAAAAGTGCAAATCTCAAAACCCTAACCCCAATCGGTTGAATTAAGTAGAAAAAAGTAGATTCAAAAAGAAAAGAAAGGAAGAGGGATAATCTACGTGATCTCGAATCAAACCAAAAAGAAAACACGAATCGGGTTCAACCAAACCTAACCCTAGATCTCCTTTTGGGTGAACAAGCGAAAAGAAAAAAGCGAATACAACTCAAATCGGAGAAGGGAAAAGGAGACAAACCTGCGCCATAAATCCAGGATGGCCCTTGACGCATGGCGGAGAAATGAAGGCGAGCCGGCAGGCGTTGCTCACCGGGCTCGGCCAAAACAGCCATGACTGCGGGGCGCTTCGATGGCGGCGTGCTCACCGTTAGAGAACACGCCGCGCCCGGCAACAGTGCCATGGATGCCTGCTCCCACCGTAGTTGCTTTCGGTCACGCGCTTCGGTGCTCGGCTGCTTGTTGAGAGAGAAAAGCGGCGAAGAGAAGAGAGAAACAGCGAAAGGAAGGAAGCTAGGGTTTTTCGTCCCGGCGCGGCGATCGATCCTTTGTTCGAAGGCGAGGCCAGGCGAGGCGGCCGTCGGATCGCGATCAGACGGATCCATCCGATCGGGCAATGAAAGCAGCCCAGCGATGGTGTGATCGCGCGACTTTAGCGACCAGGCCCAGTTGCGGCACAGGAGCCCAGCCCAGCAGCGTCAAGGGAGATAAAGGAGCCATTTTGCCGGTTGGGTGAATGCACGATGAAATGATCCATTTTTTCGTTTTTCCTTTTCCGGCAAATATTTATTTAAGGAAAATGAAAAATAGCTCAAAAAAAATAGAAAAAAGTAATTTTTCCATAAGGGTAAAATTCAAGAAATTGGTGAAAGTTTTTATTTGCTAAAGAAGTTGTTTATTCTCGATTATTTTGAACCAATGTGATATTTAATTGGAGAAAAGAGTTTTGACATAATTATGATGTTGTTATTTTACGACCAGCGATGTTAATAACAATATCATAATTTTAATAATTTATGCATTAATTCTACTTCTGCCCAATGGTGATGTAGAATTAGTGTATAAACAGATGTAAATTTTAATAATTTATGCATTAATTCTATTTACATCCCAGCGGTGATGTAGAATTAGTGTGTAAAACAGTTAATGAAAGTTAATGATTTATGCATTAATTCTATTTACATCCAGCGGTGATGTAAATTAGTGTATAAGAATAATTATGTTTTGATTTTGACCAGCGTTGGAAGGCATGGAAATTGTGTTATTTTATGTTAAGAAAAGATTTGACCTAGTTTTCATCTTGGGCGAAGGTGGTGGGGTAGTCACCTCACAAAGTGTCCCACTAAGTCTGTGGTACAGGTGAGGGAGACAAAAAGAAAGAATGATGCTTGAATTAGGCAACTAAAGAAAGGGATTTTGAATCCCAAAAGATGTCCTATGACTTTGAGCATAGGAAGTGAGTCACCTTTGCCAACATAAAA